AACTTACATGTTAAACTTAGATTAGTGAGCGTAGCTTTGGATTAAGTATTAGGTCGATAATATGTATTAATAAATATGGGCTAAAGGTCATAATAAAGGTCGTAAAATATAAAAAATAGCTTCGTTAATAATTCTGTAATATTTGAATTTGATCTATGTAAATTAGCCAATTAGATGAACGTTATCTATTACTTTATCATATGATTATCGAATGGAGAATTTTTATTGGTTGACTATATAAAAAAAAAAAAATTTACGATCCCCATTTTGTCAATATGGACAGGATATGAAAACCAACTATATAAATTTATATGGCCTTAGCTATATTAGTTTTTATAACTTACTTTTTATTATTAAACTTTACAGGCTTATATTTAATTTAATAGTTAGATAAAAGTAGCGATATTTAAATTATTTTATTTTTATTAATTTTTGGTATATAAATATAAAAAATATTTTTAGTTAAATTAAAATATATATTTATAATTAATTTCTTTTTGTTATAATAATTTGGGGCAGACTGCAACAAAACCAGACAAAGTGAACATTCTAAAATAAAAGACTGGTATGGCTGAAAGTTAACTAATTTGACTAATACTAATGCTGTTTGAAAGTAATTTGATGCTCATTTATAACTTATAGACTTGTTGATTTTAATTTTCACTTTATCATACCAAAATGTGAGGAATATAAACCATAACAGGAGTAATATAGAACTATCCCTATATAAAATTATAATATGAAACTAATTTATATCAAATCCACTATGGAACCAAAGAATTACAGCACTATTTGGAGCATTCTAAAAAAAGCTCAAGGAGAAAAAATTGCTCCCTATGTTTTTAAAATCAATGACACCCAAACTCTCCAGAAATATCTAGATCAAGAAAAAATCACTTATGAAATTTACCAAGAAGAACGGAAAATCATAACAAATAAATGAACATTAACCTCAACTTATGATAAACCAAGAAAGAAAAGAAGACTGGAAGAATAAACAATCAAATCATTATTAATCATCATCCTCTTCATCATCCTCTTATTCTAGTTCAGCAGAGGAGTTTCATCATTTAGCCAGGAGTTTTCTTTTCCAGATGGCTCAACCTAGACTACTTAGTAATAAAAGAATTCCTCCTCCAGCTGCTCAAGCAGAAGGATTATTAATTCTTCAGAAATTTTCTTGTTTATTATCCTCAAAAGACTTTTTATAGTGCTTCTTGGCATGATCTTGTCCTCCTAACTTTTCAGTATAGTACTTAATAATTCCATCTTCACTAAATTCTTTACCATCTCCATAAACTGAGAGATCTAACCTAACCAATCCTTTTTGATCTTCTTTATAATCTTCCATCTTTTTCAGGATTTGTTTTTTGAGATTACTATCTGCTTTTAATTCTTGTAAAGCAATAGTATGGACTACTACTTCAGGATCGCGAGTAAAGAATCAATCTAATCATTCTCACTCTTTAGCTTGGTCATTAGGAAGGTCATAAGTATCATCAATTAGTTCAGGTTTTTTAGCCAAGACTTCTTTACAGTATTTGATAAGTTCAGCTTTATTGATTTTACTTTTTGCTCCATTAACTCTGTCAGCCAGTTCTTTAATTTCATTAGCCTTAACTTTTAAATCAATATTTTTGGAATAAGCAATTCATTTTCTTGTTAAATCACTAAACACATTAGTTTTCACTCCTAAAGCTGCTTTGAGTTCCATTGGCAGAATTCTCCTTTCAGGAGAAGGAACTTCACCATTCTCAATATAGTGAGTGAGTTGATCTAATTCATTTTGTTCCACTGGATCTAATCCCCGCCCTACTGATTCCAAAGAATCTTTTATACTTTGCAAATAATTTTTTACAACTTCCTCATTAAAGTATTTACCATCATCATTTTTTCAGTTCTCTAACCTTTCCATAAAGTGAGTGCCATGTCCTACTCAATGATTATATTTAGCTAGAATACCTTGATTATTAGTTTCAGCTACATCTAATTTGGCTAATTCGGCAGCAGGATCAAAAGTCGCATCAGTTTTTAAACTTTCTCACTTTTTAATTCATCCTAAAATATTCCGCATAACCAATAGTTCTCGATAACTTCTTTTGCCAGGCTTATCCTGCAGAGTTTTAAATTGAGTAATTAAACCACTTACTCTACCTTTTTTGGCTTTATTTTTTCTATCTTCTATTGCTTCTTTTTCAGTATTAATTTTATCTTTTTCAGCATTAACTTCAGCTAATTCACTCCACTTTGCACCTAATTTAGCCTTGGCTGCATTTAAAGCTTCTCTTTTAGTAGAAGTAATTCTTACTCATTCATTTCATTTATTGATTGTACTATTTTCATTTGTCACATCATCATCAAATTTGTCAACTACTTTATTTCCTGGATATGCCTCTATTAATTTAATAGTATAAGAAGGAAAAACAGAAATTTTGTCTTTTATATCTTCATATTTCAAATTTTTTGCTCTTCTGGAGAAAGTTGAAAAGGTTTCATTTTTAAAAGTTGATAAAATTTCTCGAGCAATAACCCTTCACTCACCTTGAAGACTTTCTAATTCTCCTTTTTGAAAGATAGGAGTAGTAGTACCTGCCTCTGTTAAACCTTTGAGTAAATTTTCAACATATTTTTCATATTTATCAACTAAAATACTACTATTGGCAAGTAAAGAATATTTAAGACGAATTTTATTCTCATAAACAGATATTTCATCTCGAATTACTTCATCATTAACTGCATCAGAACTTAATACTGTATGACAGGCACTAAAATCAATGGCTTCATCATTATTATAAACTTGTCAAAAGAATTCCGGGATTTGACCATTGGCCCAAGTTAATTTTTTTACTTCACAAGGAAAAGGAGCTCTCATAATACTAACACTACCACCAGGAGAAGTAACATAATTCTTTCCAATAATACTAGCATCCTCACCTCGTCAATAAACAGTATAAGGAGTATCAATACTCTTGTCCATATCATTAAATTGTAAACAACTCTTTTGACCTTTTTGTACTGTATAAAAGGACTATTTGAGTAATTACTATCTTTAGGAAAGAGAGCATGCATGACATAGAAAATGTCACTCATATATCGGTGAGTTTCCATATTTTCTTTGACATATCCCTCATTACTTACACCAGTCATTGTACTTTTATCACCAAAGCCAAAAAGTTTTAATTTTAAACCTACAACTCGAGAAAATGTTTTTTTAAACTTTTCCTTATCCTTAGCACTTCAAGAACAATCTGAAGAATCAATATATTTAAAAAGTTTATCTTTATCAATTTCTTTAAGAATCTTTCAAATTTGACCTTGAAAATCCATACTTAAATAAACAGCGTTAGTATAAGATTTACCATTGCTGCTAGCATTAACATTAGTTTTGATCACTGAACCATAAGTTTCACCAGGAATAGCAGAGGTATCAGATTTATATTTTTCTTCTGAAACAATTTTATTACTCTTAATTGTTTCTTCAAAAAACCTGTGACCACCTGCACCAACAGTTCTAAGATCATTTTTTAAAGCAGCAACTGCTGCATTAACCTTAGTTTCTAAAACAGTTTGTTTTTTTTCTAGTGAATCATTATATTTCTTTTTTAACTCTTTAATTTCTTTGTCAATAGCTTCTCCTTTTTCCTTCAAATCATTAATTTTAAGTGCCGCCTCTTCTATTTTTTGATCAAATTCAGGATCAGATTCAGCAAATAAAATATCTTCAAACTGACTAACAACCTTATCAACTGATTTATTGTCATTTAGATTATTAACAACTTGATAAGGAATAGATTCAGCTTTTTGCTCTTTTAAGATGGAAGCTAATAAATTATGGCTTTCTGAACTTAAACCCATTTTTTCCTTTTTTATTTTTTCTCTGGATTCTCTTCAATTGTTTAATAACTGAGCAGTATCTTGAAGGAGTGTTTTATCCAAAGTGTCATTTGGTTTTAAAAGATTATTATCAAAGATAGACTTTTCTTCTGGTTTAAGGGCTCCTCCATAATAATTGGAGTATTCCTTTGCTTCATATATTGTATTGATATCATTTTTTTTGAATGTCATGATTTAATTCCTATATTATATTTTAATATTAATATCATTAGAAGATTAAATATAAAGAATGAACAAAAACTAATAAAGTAATAAAATTTGTGAAATATTTTTATTTATTCTCAGTATAGATTGGTCTTGGACAAGTGATATCTTTAAATTTATCTCTGACAAACGGACGAATATTTTTGTAAAAGTAGTCTTGACGTTTGTAATCTAATGGAGGCGGAGTTAGAACTAAAATAGAAAAAGATTTAATCTCTTTGGTAATTTCAGAAACGCTTGCCTTTCTAGTTTTTAACAAATTAAATTCAGTATATGAACCATGAACAACCAGCTGAGCTTTGACAACTCCAGGATTGGCTGCTTCAAATACAAAATGCTGATATTTTTGTAAACCGTTTAGTTTTTTAAAAAAAATTCCCAACACGGAATTAAGATCTAAATATTGAAAGCCTTTTCCCTTGTCATAACGCTGAGCTTTGTTTAATCCCGCTGTGCTCGATCTTTTCACAACCTCAACAATATGATCCACACAATCTACCGTTGTTTTGCGGTACAGTTTCTTAATTAATCCAAAACTACCATCACACTTGAATTTAGTATGCCCAGGTACCATAAAATTTAATTCGATACTTTCATAATAACCGCAAATTACCAAATACAAGTAAAATCAAATAGTGACGTTATTTTTATTCTGTCCACCCGCGTTGTCACAAGTAAATTTCAAATATTTTTCGCCTTTATTCAATCTCTTAATTCCATCGAAGACCAGGCTTAGTGTGCCATTAGGACCTTTGCCGATGATTTCGTCTTCATCAAGAACGTAATTAATTTGTTCGCGTACTGCTTCATCTTGTATACCAAATAAATGCACTTTACGCGGACTTAGATAATAAATTTTACTTACTTGTTGATCGGAATGGGGCACGTGAACATTTTGCGCTCAATCGTAACTGTAATGAGCAGTCGCGTCAAGGCTACAATAATCAGCTTTACCCCCTGTTACAACGTAATTATCGTCTACCAATTTCCTTTGTTGTTCTGCTAATTTCGTATTTTTGTTGTAATAATTTCTTTCTAATTTAGCCTTAACCAGATGTTCTTTGAATTTTTTTAGTAAGTCTTTTGCTTCTTCTTCCTTGCGAGCATTGTATTGTAAGCCGTTCCGAAAATGTTGACACGTATCGCACAAATCTGTTCGTGGACTCATAATTTGAATATAAGGCGTTAACTGGTGCCATAACTTGCGAAATGCATCATATTTTAACAATTTCAACGTGCTCTCGTTTTCGAGACCTGCAATAAAATCACGATAGACCGACTTGTAACTCGTTTCAGCTGGCAAGAGTGTAAGCGATTGAGTAATGCGATTGACATTTCTACCAGGACTTGGTAATCCATGTATTTCAGCATAATTCTCGAGAAAATTTTTTACAGCGGTAGCAACAGTTATATCAATGGTTATTTTGGTTTTCCATCGCGGGACTCGTTTTACGTTACCATGAACACGCGGTATTATGCCATTCGTTGCTAGGTGGTTTCTGACATTTTCGAAGTGAGTGCGACCGATTCCTAACATATTGAGATACGTTTTCTGACAAAGGGACATATTGCGATCTCAGTAGTAAAATGTTCTCTTATTAGTACGCGTTTTCTTTTTAAGACGTCGGCTGGCAGTTATTTCTCCACCATTCATTGCTTTCAGTTGGGCCATTAAATATATGTCTTGCTCGGATCTAGAGAGGGCTTGAAACGCCTCACGTAATTCGGCAAACTTTTCTCTTGGAATTATTTTTGAACAACCACAGTTGCAACCTGTCTCCAAGAAACGTATTGCTTTTTCATATTCGGTTGAACCGTTATAATTATAATTTTCCATATACGGGTATTCCTATATATAATTTTTATCATTTGTAACTATACACTGATTCTCTTACGAAGAACTCTTCACGAATACAACGATAAAAATATACGTCTGTAAACGAAGACATTTATTATGCAAGAAACAGATTAAAAGCAAAGACAATAAACTGATATAATTTGTAGGACATTTTCTACGAGTATATTTCAAGTAAGCTACCCGTCAGTCGCATCTGTGTAAAGCGAACTGAGAAATGAAAAATGATAATTGTAATGCAAAGACGAAACAATCAGAAATTAAAATAATGCAATGTATATGTGTTCCCCTTAAAATCTTACTTGACTCTTTCTACTGATACTCTCCCATGAGCTGAACCTCAACTTTCCCATCCTTATCCTCTATTATAACCGACTTCCAATTCTCCTGGCAATATACGTTTATCCAATGATAATCACCACTATACTTTGGTTTTTCACTACGAAGATCGGGACATCGAATGTCAATGATGACCCATTCATTGGATATATTCCTGATAGATTCATAGATACCACCTGGTTCGAAGCAACTCCTGTGGCCAGGCGCATCTGCACCATCCCGTAGTAACTCGATTACCCAGCTCCGGCCGTCATCCACAAAGAAATCCACATATCCACTTGACCCCCAATATGTTCCAACATCAGCAGAAATGAATATGTCAGGAGGTAGGACTTGAGTAGCGGCTCGGTAAAATTCCATTTGCCAAGCACGCTCCAAAAGCTGCTCGTCTTTACCAACAGAATATGATTTCCGTATAGTCTCAGCATTCATATTGGTGAAGGTTCCAAGGAGGAAGCTTTTGAAATCTTCAGGAGGAATCGTTGGCCTAGCGGTGTTTCCCCAACGCCGCTGCAGATAAAGCGCGCGCAGGTAGGGCGAAGCAAAATCGCGTTTCCCGTCTTGTTCGCTGAGTAAGTTTGTCTTGACTAGCCTTACCTCTTTTCCGGATGTGTTATTTGGCAGTCTGATATCAATGGGTTCTCGGAATACCCTATCACAAAGTTGAGTTTCCTCTGGAGTCAAATTTTGCATATGTAAATACCCACGAAAGCCCTGCAATAACAGGATTAATAAGTACAATGATAAAATCCTTTTCATAGTGCAAAATGAAATTGAAAAAAACACTTGCCGAATCTACTGCCCTCATAAACGTATATGACTTCAAGTACAAGAAAATCCTTTCAAATGTCAACGTATCATCATATTTCAGTTGTGGGGAGAAATAATCTCTAATATGATTCATGAAAAACGCGACAAGTCCAGGGTGACGAGCTGTTGTGTTGTGCACGTATTCCTTTAAGTATGTAATATCATTTTCATCTGTCATTTTTCCGAGATGCGTTCTGCAGAAGCGTAAAAAGTAATCTTCGTACTCGTCCTTAGTGAAGCGCACGTCTTGTATGCCCCATGTGTTCTCAACCGCAAACGGCGACACATCCATTGTGCGAGTTGCAACAGACGAACAATCCCATGCACCCTTGTAGCCATATGCAGCAAAGGCAACAATATATAAGTTACCGCCCTGCTGGCACCGCTTAAACGCTTCCCAAAAGACATTGCCATTGTGATGCGAAGCACTCATAGGTTCACCTTGGGTCACATAAAGCATCTAAAATTCGCTAGTGTCAGAGTCCACAGGAAATCAAAATAAAAGATGCCGCATAAAGAAACTTTCATACCTGAACTTCGTCGACAATAAATATAGTCTGAATGTGATTACACTCATCTTGAAATTTTTTCCAAGTTATGCCCATAAGTCGCTGAAACTCCTCCTCGAATGTCCAGGATCCACTAGGGATGCCCATCCATAAGAGCGAGATGCGAATGACTCGAATGTTGGGATCTTTAGTTAAGTGTTGGTCTAATAGTTGGCCCAGTGAGGTTTTTCCAGACATGGGTGGAGATCGAACGAGTAAAACGCCTGCATTCCAGATCTTTTCGACAAGCTTTTGGATTGTCTGCTCGCGGAGGCAGATATCAGAACTGTTGAGGTCAATTCCTTCATAATTACCGATTCGATTTCCTTCAGTTGTCATGAACAGAGTTCCACCAAGGCCTCCTATAAAAGAGTGATAGTGAGATATTCGGATGGGTAAAATGAAACATACACTGAAGTAATCATACCTTGTCTTGGTGTATATGGCAACTTTACATCTATATGACGAAGCAAATTATGGTGAGCAAACGGGGATGATATATTGTACCTCAATATAAATGAAACGAGCAATGACTAAGTGCTAAGAAGGTGGGTTTGACAAGGGATGCAAAAGTAGAAGGAAGTCAATATTGCAAACAGCACAAGTGTTGTAATGCATTCCAACTATTCTCCTCTGTTAACCCCATGACTACTCTACGAACCCCCGTTGCTCCTCTATTAACCCAAACGTATCGTATCTTGCTTATTTGCCTTTCACGTATAAACTTAGCTCTGCTACGATTCTGCTCTGTCCCAACTAATAACGCCCAACTGCCTCTCTTGCAATATAGCACAAACCCAGTAACAGTATTCAAACTCTTCTCCCCGTTGCTCCTCTATCTTCCCAATAAACGTGTGTCGCTTACCTTGCTTGTCGAGTGTTGCAAGATATTCGTCATAGCAGTCTGTGATTGCTGCGGGGTGGTCGCTACGGTATGTATAAAAGAACTTCTTATATCCTTCGTATGCGTCTTCAACCTCCTTCCAAGTTGCTTCTCGATGATAGTCTTCTTTGTATTTAACGGCATATTTAGCACCAAAGTCCCATGGGCCCAGTGGGTCTACGTTCATAGCAGCTATGTCGATGTTATTCGTGAATGATAATGGTAATAAAAGAAGAGCGCGATCCAGCTCTGCGCCGCCCAACTCAGCCCTGTTTATACGTTTTACTTACACAAACATGTGATACTTCTCCGTATTGAAGCGCCGAATCAACTATAGGTGCCGGGTCCAGCCCAGTTAGTAAAAAATCGATAGAATAATCGATTTGATCGAGCCTAAAAAAAGGCATAATAATAAACCAAGTAAACAATTCGGCGAACGAAGTTACTTGCCAGACGTCGGCAAACTGTGGAAGAACTTTAAAGACTTGTTTGACAAAAAGGCCGGGCTGGATCCGAAATTTTCATTTAATCAAATGGCAACTGAAATCCGCGAGTTACGCGAAGGAAAAGGCGTTGCAGCCTCCACGTTGAAAAAATTTTACAAACGAAAAACGAATCCAAGGAAGAGCACATTAAATGCTATCAAAGAATGGATTGATAACAATAAAGAAATAGATGACAGTGACAATATTATTAATAGTAGCGATAATAAAGAAGATAATGAAATTTAAATTTGCACCAGAGTGACCAAAGAATAGGTTATACTCATTAATGGCTTTGGGTCCGAGTATTTTCCTCCCATGCAATCACTCTGGTGCTTTTACTATTATTTATATTTCAAGAGCGCGCATTCAATAATCGAAATAATAAATTTTATGCCTACGAATTATTTTTACATTGTTTGACTCTTTAATTGCATTGTGTCAAAGTAGTGAACGTGGCCAAATGCACCCAAAAAGTTCTTTATCAACAAGTCAAAAACTATAAGGAATGTTAAACTGCTTTCCCTTACCTGTCTTCTAATTTTCGTTTTTTTCTCAGTTCACCATGTGCTGGTGTTAATGTTCGTTTATTTGTTATGATTTTCCGTTCTTCTTGGTAAATTTCATAAGTAATTTTTTCTTGATCTAGATATCCCTGGAGAGTTTGGGTGTCATTGATTTTAAAAACATAGGGAGCAATTTTTTCTCCTTGAGCTTTTTTTAGAATGCTCC